GGTTCCGACCAAAGTGTTTCAACATGGCCCGAGGGACGGAAAAAAAAAACAACACCCTCGTGAACCCCCGCTCCCAAATAGTGCTCCGCAGCTTTGCCCCAAACCACATCAGCACAGGCAGCCTGGAGAGCCCGCCACAGGTAGAACCGAAAGGAGGGAGTCTCAACGTAGAGGGAGGCACCGTACTCATCCTGCCAGTCACGAGGAGAGGTGGGGACCCACTCAAGGTCAAAAAGGGTGGCGACGGTAGCCATTACAGGTCCCTTGACCCGCCTCCAACGGCAATTCGCGAGAATGCTCAAAAACAAACCCACCGCCGCCGCCCAAACATTCTGGACCCGCATGCGGTCCTTAGGTGGCAAATCACACCACAGATCCGCAAAGCTCAGCAGGTGCCCGCGCCTCAATCGGAAGATGGGGTCCTCCGCACTGCTACAGACCAACGACAAGACCGTGGTGGAACAAGACCCAGGGGTCCACCAACCCGAACACTGGGCCGCTTGGCCCCTCACAGTTTGCAACTGGCGAGGGGACATCCCTACCAGTTGATGGCTCCAGGTCCCAACCGCCAAAACACCAGGTTTGTACAGCTTGGAGGCCCTCTTATAGATGCGGGAAAAGAAAGACACCTTACACGCACGACGCCGCGCTTCAAGCCTCCGCCGCTTCACTTCAGGAATCCTCCGCCGTCTTCCAGCCATGGTACATGACCCCAAATCCCTCGTTTCAGCACGATACCGAATTGAAAGTCCCAAGGCCTGAAGACGATCAGCAAGGCGAGCGCCTACCGCAGGGGAAGAGCAGACGAGGGCGCGCTTGCTACTGAGCGCCAGGCCCAGCTTGTCGACCTCTTGCGAGAACAACGTCGCAGCAGGCAAGACGTGGGCAAGGAGCTCCTGCTCCGTGCCAGCCATATGCCGGGCAATATCATCAACATTGGCCCGCGAGACCACTCGAGACATTTCACCATTCACTTGATAATGCGCGGCCTCCAGGGCCTCGTAAACGTAGATTTTGACCCACGGCATGCTCTGGGAACAACCAGGTAGAACCCCCCTCCCCGCGGACACCATACGGGAGACGCTACCTTCAACCCCCAACATACGGGGGGCCGTATGGATGAGCATCCCAAGATACAACAAATGGGGTGGGTATTCCATGCGCAGGGCCAATCGGATGAGCAACCGAGGGCTCACCGTATCAAAAAACTTCGTAAGATCCCAATGGATCGCAACACCGAGATAGCCCCTTCATGTCTGGCACACTCGTGGTACAACTCCCGAACAAGCGCCGCTCGGAGAGCCGACGATCCTTTGACCGCCGTGTCCCAGAACGCCGTGTGGTTGGCAGTCCACGCATCGAGATCCCCCCCCCCCCCGAAATTTGGTGTAGAGACGGTACAGGGTGGGGCGCTTACAGACGGGGCGCTCGTCAATCTGAGACTTCGGCAACAACGCAATCAAGCCGAGCAAGATTTGAGCTGGCCAAGCCATACCCCGCTCGCACAGGGAGTAGAGAGAGGCCAGGGCGTGAAGGGCCTCGGCAGGGAGCTCAGCCACCGCCCGAGGTCCCCACCCATCAACGCCGACAGCCGTCGTCGCCGAGAAAAAATTGCACGCTTGAATGCATGGGGCGGCAATGGGGGGAAGGTCATCAACATGCTCAATAGCCACCGCACGGAGGTCAGACATGGCATCACCCAGCCTCAATATCTCATCCTCCGACACGGACCAAAATCCGCCCCACAAGCGGGCCCGATATTCCATCATTTCTTCAGGTAACTGCTTGACACCGTCAGGGGGGGTAAAATATTCAACCACACTCCGATTGTCACGCTTCAACCACGAGTGCACCCCCTTGGCGCCATGTGGGATGGCGCGCAGCAGCCAGGCCTTAAGGCCTTTCGAAGACTCCGCCTTAGCTGCCGCCCAAGCACGCTTCAAAACCTCGGAAGCGAGGTCAACAAGGCGATCCACCATATCAGGACCCCCCAGCGCAGCAACGGTGACCTGATCGGTCCACCAGGGGGAAGGCTGAGCTGGCGGCAGCACCTCGGAAAACTCCCCGACGCGGCTGACCATGTCCATGATCAGCCCGTAAACGCGGCTCCCGGTGGATTGCCGCCGCAACAACGCGCGAAGCTCAAATAGCTTGGCAGAGAACCGAGACCAAAACGCCAACGTCGGACAACGAAAAGATGTGCCCATGCCACCTTTATGCGTGATCGTCGATGTAACCAATTTCAATGCATCCCCTCTCCCCATGTACGCATGCTCCTCCTCCGCACCGATGGCGGCACAAGCACGCGAAAGAAACATACGCTCGGCAGCACGCGACCAGAGGGAATACTGCACAGATATCTGATCATCGAGATGCTCGACTGCATGCGGGATGAGATGGGCCAACTGCACAGGGCACATACACAGCGGCACACGATCAGAGCAAATCTCATGATGAAGGTGACGCCGCCACGGTAAGTCAGGTCCGTGATAAACGGGAAAAACTCGAGGGCGCACTCGCCGACAGAGACGCTGAACCAACACTCGGCGAGCCAACTGGGCACGAAGTGCACGATGTGTTTTGAAGGGGGACGGTTCGAACACTCCAACCTGGACGAACGGGGCCAAATCCTCCGAGACCAACGCATAATCGATCATCGTCCCTGACCCTTGTGAACACGCGAAGTCGACTCCCATCGGGGCCAACACCCGAGCGTGAAAAGACTGCGGATATCCCGAGAGCCACATAGTTTCGACCTCAACATTGAAGTCCCCGGCCAACATCCAGGGAATCCCGAGAGCACGAACGAACTCGGCGATACCACGCATTTGGGACAGGTTCCCCCCCGCGACACCCAGGCACGAGACAAAGTAGCACACTCCGACCGCAATGGTCGCTTTCTGGGTCTTGAATTCGAGAAACATCCAACCTGGGCCCGACCCAATGTCGGAAACAACACCCGCATGGGCAAGAACGTTTAAAATACAGGCTCTTACTGACGACGATCCCGACCCCGCCGTGAGTCCCCCCTCCGTTAGTAGGCACACCTGCCTGCAGATGGGGCCTCCAGCCCACGGCTGCAATCTCTCGCTTCGCGGCAGGCAAAGCAGGCTGCTGCAATCGGTGCTCACAGAAGAGGAAAGCATCCACCTCAGGACATATAGCAGACGCAAAGTCCTTCGCAACCTTGGACCAGCTCGTGGCATTACAAAACACCATATTCAGGCCACCGCCTGCAGCAAGCGAATCCTTGGATCGGGGCGGACGGGATCGATGAGGCAAACCAGCGCTATAGAGACGCCGCCCCTTCCACAGGCATTGCGACGGCTTGCTTGAGCAGCTCGGTGAACTGGTTGTGGATCTGCCCCATTCGTGGTCCGCAGGCGCTTGGAGGTACGAGCTCGAACACGATCACGGATGAGGCTCTCCATGCGCTCCTGCTCCTCAGGGGTGGGCACCTGCTCCTGGCCACGCTTGCGCAGTCTCCGCAACTCTTCATCGCCAGCTCCGACTGCATCGCCAAAGCTGGCGTCGCTGCCAGCATCACTAGCAGCATCGCCATCAGCACGTTGAATGGTGGCCCGCATGGCCACGAACGCCTCCCAGAGGCCCTTCGGCAACCGCTGCTGGCTGGCCCACTCGTTCTGCTCGGCTGCCGAAGATCCACCTGCATGGGCTCCTGCACTGGAGCGCCCACGCCTTCCTCGCCGCCACCAGGCACACCAGCAGGAGCGGCGCCGCCACCGCCAGCACCACCAGCGGCCGCGCCGCCACGTGCCGCGCCGCCACGCGCCGCGCCGCGCCAGGGCGCGCCCGCCCGCGGCGCTGCAGGGGGCCCAGCGGGGGGGCGCAGCCCGCTGGGCCTGGCGCGCCGCCTCAGCGCGCGCCTCAGCAGCCTTCGCCGCCTCCCAGGCCTCGGGGTCGAAGGCCTGCAGCTCGGCGTCGGCATCACGGCGGGCCTTCTGAGCAGCATCATGCTCCTCCTCCGCAGCGTGCAAGGCGTTCGTCGCCTCGTCGAGTTGCTCCCGTACACGTTGAGCATTGCTTCTCTTCTGTTCCACTTCCTGGCACGCGAGTCGAACCTGCCGAGCAGCGTCCTCGACCACTCGGGCCAAGCGGGTCCGCTCGGTGTTCGCCGCGGTGTCGAGCTGGGCAGGCGTGAGGACCGCCGCAGGAGGCGCAGGCTCCTCCGCCAAGTCGCCCAGGGACTCGCGGAGGTCAGGCCGCGCCGCCAGGAGAGTGGCGGCGGCGACGCGCAGCTGCGCATCGGGCTGCCCAGCACCAGCAGCGCACGCTGGGGCGCCTTCATGGCCTCCACCAACGTTGGACTCGAGGTAGTAGCCGCCGCACTTGGAGCACACCTCGTGACCGCGGCTCGCCCACTCCCAGTGACTGCAGGAAGCACACACGTTGTATCTCCGCTGGCGCAGACGGCGCCGCGGAGCTCGCTTGTCGTCCCGTGAACCCTCAGGCTGAAACACCCAGCTCCCTGGCTGGCCGCGATAGCTGCCAGTCCGCAGACCAGCGCCCCCGCGACGCCATGGGGGCTCAGGCGCCATGGCCACGGGCGACTCCGATATGTAGGAATGATGCCAACAGGGAGCCTTCGTTTCGCCTCGAAGAAAGCAGGCTACGGAAGCCCCAAAGCTAATCGCTGGTTCTCAGGCGTCCATAGCCCTTCACAACGTTTAGCCTTGAGCCAAAATGGCTACGGGGAGGAAGAGGAGGAGGAGGAGGAGGGAGGAAGGAAGGAAGGAGGGAAAAGTAGGAGGAGAGAGGAAGTAGGAGGAGAGGAGGAGGAGGAGGAGCAGGAGGAGGAGGAGTAAGAGGAATGGGGAAGGGCAGGGCAATGAACGCGCTGTAGGTGAGGGTCCGAGTTGTCGGGTCCCGAGGGGGGGTCCGTTCGAGCGGTGACCCCATCCGACAGCACGCACCCATAGCCCCCGCCAGGATTCCGACCCAGGAACTCTAAGGTATAGGTATGGGTGTTAGTTGTCAGCTCGTGAATTTCAATGGCGCGGGCCACGCTGCAGGGTCTCGGGGCCGCCTGGCGAGGACCAGCGCTGAGCCGGCGCGGCTACGGGCAGGACTCGAGGAACCAAAAACAGCATGAGCATAATTGTGGATCTCCGCGCGGAGCTCCAAATAAAAAAAGATGTAGCACTCGAGGAACACGCGATGGTTCTGGAGAAAAATTGCGGGCGGCGATGTCTCGATCAATAAGTACGTCAAGAATTCCGCGGGATGATGTCACGACGGCGCGTCGAGCCTGGTGCCACGACGAAAATTATGTGACAAAAGTGCCCGAGTGAAGCACGACAAGGCAATGCTAGAAGACGAAACCAAATCCGTCGACACCAGAGGCGTGTGCGGACGACTTTGGTAATGATCATATCCCTACTCAACAAATCCGCCGACCTTAGAGTCGTGCGGGACATCTGTGTGTATGTGGATTTACTCCTTACCTTGCCTTGGCCTTCTCGCTACTCGACAAATCCGACGACCCCAGAGGCGTGTGGGACATCTTTCTGCGCATTCACTCCTTACCCTGCCTCGGCCTTCTGCTTCGGCATTCCTCGCTCTGGCAACCCCTCTTTCAAGATCTTCCTCTGCAACCTCTCCCTCAATACTGCTACCCCTCTGTTCTCGGAGCCCCCGACCCCAAGATTTCTCGCCCCAAAACGACCTACGCTCCTCTCCACCCTCACCACCTGGCCCCGGCACCCCCACCCACGGAGCGTCTGTTCTTGGAAGAGGAGGCGTGCTGTCCTCACTCTCCGCCCGCGCCAGCCGCCCCTGGCGGCTTCTGGCGGGCACTCGGAGCGGAGCGCCTCCCTCCCAGGGGAGGGCTGGCCGCCCGGCCCGCGCGAGCGGGGGAGGCGCCCCACGCGCTCGGTCCCCCAGGCGCGCCTGGGGCTCTGCACAGGCTCCCCGTGATGCCGTCTGCGATTGCCCCGGCGCTCTCACGGGCGGCCCGGCCCGCCGATCGGGTCCCCCACGGCGGCGTGTCGTCGGTGCTGCCTTTGCCCTCCCCGGGTCGACGAGAAGACGTCCTCGACGGGCGGGCCGCCGGTGAGAACGCCGAGGCAGGGCCGATGACGGCCCCGGACTTCTCGGGGCCGCTCCACGGCGCGCCAGCCCGCAGGTCGGCCACGTTCTGGTATCATCCCCAGGCGTGGTGGCGACAACACCCAGCGGGGAGTCTCGGGCCAATTGGTGTCATCACCCGGCTTGGGGCCCCGCGTGGCTTTTCGCGGATGCTCCGAACGCTGGTGGGTCCAGGAGTCACAAATCCTGACAGCGGCCCCGTGTTCCAAGACCCAGCGGTGACTTTGGGGGGATTCCCGGTCACCACCTGATATTTCACCACCTGGTTTGGGGGCTCCCGAAAAGTTTGCTCTCTAGCGTCCGACGCGGTACCAATTTTCGCATTCATCTGCCGGAGGCAAGGCCCACCAGGAGCAGAAAAGTGGCGTATGGCTTCTTGACTGGAAATGTTTCTGCGGGTCACAGCTGCAGCGCGCACGTCCACCGGAAGAGAGCCGCGGGGCTTCGACCGGTCTGGCGTGCGCCACATCGGAGGTTGCCGTGTGTACTTCGATCCAGATGAGCCTGGAGGCGATCCTCCTCCGAGTGGCTCCAACGAGCTGGCTCTTCTCGAGTCGCATCGAAGCATCCAAGAGTGTGACACGAGCGGTTCGCGAGGCAGTGCGATCGCACGATGGCGATACGATGTGATGACGGAGGGGAATGTAATATGGCGTCGGCTGGGTTGCTCGCTCTGGCTGATGAGGCGCATCGGTTCCTTGCTGACGGCCTTGCTGGGCTGGCGCGAACGTCACTTTTATGGTCAGCGGACGCGAACAGAGTCCGAGTCGGACGGGCGCGAGCGGGCTGCGCCGACGCGACCTGGGCCCCATGCAGGGGAGAGGCGAAGCGAAGGAGGAAGCAGCCGCAAAGGCCGGGGGGGCAGGAACGAGCGCCGTGCCCAGCTCCAAGCAGAAGCGGGCCGGCGGCGGTGCAACCAGAAATCCGAAGTCGTGTTTCTGTTGGTGTAGCAACGCGGACCCCGCAGGACTGGACCCCATCCCTAAAAGAAGAAGAAGAAGAAGAAGAAGAAGAAGAAGAAGAAACACCAAAAACGTGGGGCCCAGCGCAGATCCAAGAAATGCGCTCGGAGCTCCAAAAAATGATACTCCTGCAGCTCTTTCTTCTCTGATTCCCGAGGGCGCGCTCCTCTGACGGCCCCACAGGGCCCAGCAAACTCCCCCAGAGGCCGCAAGCTTGCAAAGACCGCCCGCCGTGACCTTCTTGCACGACGAGAGGGGGACAGGAGAGCCCAGAATCGAATCGATAAGTCGGATCGGCGATCGAAATGAATCGGATCGGCGGAACTCGGCAGCCGAGTCGGGAAAGTCGAATCGGCGGAAATCGGAAGGCTAGTAGGCCTCCGTTGAGAGATCGGAGCCCAGATTGGAATCCAAAGTCGAATCGAATCGGAATCGGGAACCATCGAAATCGAATCGAATCGAATCGAATCGAAGGAGTCGAAACGAGCACTGGGGAGGCGGGGCCCAGGTCAAAAAAAACGGCCCCTGGACTTCTCCAGGGGTGCGCTCTCTGCCCAGAGAGAGCTGCGAGGCGGGTCCCAGCCATGGCGGCGGGAAGCCCCCCCGCGAGGCCCAGGAAGGGCCAAGAGCACACAAGACCTCGATGCTGGAACCTGGAGGAAGTGGCTGGCTTTTCCTACATCCATACCCAAATCAAGCAATCCTCGCGGCCATGCCTGCTCGTGCTGTCGTCGGAATAACACGTGTCTATATATAGATATATATATATATATATACATATATATACATACATACATACATACATACATACATACATACATACATACATACATACATACATACATACATACATATATATATATGAATACGAATATGAGTGGTTGGTTGCTTGGTCGGCGGCGCGCCCAGGGGGAAGATGACAGAGGGGGCAGGCCTTCTCAGAGGGCGGCGGGGCTTCTCACAAGCCCTCTGGCCTCCTGCGCAGCGCCCTGCGTCTTCGGAGAAGGCTCAGAGGGCTTCCCAGAAGGCGCGAGGCCTTCCGAGCCCTCTGAGAAGGCCCGCCCCTGTGTCGCCTTCCCCGCTGAGCGCCTCCGCCGATCCCTCCTTCCTCCCTCCTCCGCCCTCGAGGAGACTCGTCGAAGGATTTCGGCGAAAAGACCTCCCACTTCCCCTGGGGCTCGCCGCCAAAGTGGAGGACACAGAGGCCTCCCAGATGGGGTCCGAGTAGATGGGGTCGGAGGATCGCGCCGCATCGGCGACGTCGGCAATGCATCGGCGCCGTCGGCGTGGAGACAATCGGACTCCACATCGCGCCACATCGCGCCACATCGCCGATGCATCGGCGATGTGGCGCGATCCTCCGACCCCATCTACTCGGACCCCATTTGGGAGGCGTAGAGGTAGGGCGACGAAATGTATCCAAATCCGCTGCCTCCTGGCCAGGCCCATCCTGAGCCCAGCAGCGGCGTATACGCCACGCCCTCCTGGCTCGCCAAGAGGGCATATACACAGCTCATGGGTTCAGGGTGGGCCTGGCCAGGGAGCAGTGGATATGTATGACACCATGGTGGTGCGAATGAACCCCCTGGGGATAATAAAGTTCAGGGTCCAGGCGGGATAATATTTTTTCCTGGGAAAATCGATGATAGGATACCTGCATCGGTCTCGGCGAATATTCGAAACTGCGCGTTTCGCCTGAGGCTTCTTTTATTTGAAAAATCATGGTGCCATGCATGAGATGAAGATCAGAGCTACGATGGGAGCTTCGGAGGGGATAATCAGATTCGACATCCGCGCCTCCTGTGGCAATTGAGCCACATTCAATCCCGTGGATAAGGAGATACAAAAGGTCAAGGGAGGGACGGGGATGCTTTCCAATCCGGGGGTTGGGGTCGGTGCGCCGCCAGAATGTCCCATATCCCCTGCCGCGGGGTCGTACTCGAAGGAATCGAGGGGAGCGATGGATGTGGACGCCTGGCCGCCCGTGCGGGCGGGCAGGAGAAGATGCCCCACATCCACCACTCCTCGAGATCCCCGGGCACGACTCCGAAGCGGTGGATATGGCTCTTTCCTGGCGTTGGGGGTGGGTTTCGTCGCCCGACCCCGAGGGACGGCGGCGGCCCCGCGCACGCCGCCGTCCTCGTCGCGCCACGCGGGGCCTCCCTTGCCGCCTGCGGGCGCGGCCGGCGTGAGCGTGACGGACTGCCGCGGGGCCGAGCCGGCGTCGTACGGCCCCTCCTCGGGTGGCGCGCGGCCGCCCGCCGCTCGCCCTCGCCGCCGCCGCCGCCCGTGTTTCCGCCGGCGCCGGCGCTGGCGCCGACGACGACGACGACGACGACGACGACGACGACGACGACGACGACAAACAACGACGGGCGTCGCCGGACGACGAGCCCTCGCCGCCAGCTTCTTCCGGAGAGGCTAAATCCAGGCGGAGTCAGCCCAGACGGAGGCCGAACACTCCGCACGGACTTGCCATCCTATCAGGAGAGGCTAAAAATCCAGGCGGAGCAAGCCCAGACGGAGACCGAGCACTCCGTACGGACCCACCCCATGCGGACTTAGCATACTCCGACTCCGCCGCCAGCGCTGGCGCCGTTGCGGATCTCCGACGGCATGGCTTGTTCCTTCTGGGCAATATTCGAGACTCGGAGTTCGATTCGAATCTCGACGATATGATTTTTCCAATCCTGGCGTCCTTCCTCGATGTCGGCCTCTGGGGCCCGTTGTCAGGGCCAGGGGCCATGGCGAAACAAAAAAAATCCCCCAGAGAAGCGGTCGGGACCTATGGAGCCACGGACTGACAGAAATCATATCGGCGGATGTCAGGGGTCGTTGCCATTGCCAGCTGCTGCTTCCGCCGCCGCCGATGCCGCCGCCGCCACGGAAATGGTCCATGGGGGTGCGCTGGAAGCCCGTGGGGCGGTTTTGCGAGGATGTCTCGAGCGTGGGCGCCCGATCGGGGCACGCCCGGTGCGCCCAGCGCTTTTGACGCATTGACGCAGAT